AAGAAAGAAAGAAAGAAAGAAAGAAAGAAAGAAAAAAAAGAAAGGAAGGAAGGAAGGAAGGAAGAAAGGAAGAAAGAAAGAAAGAAAGAAAGAAAGAAAGAAAGAAAGAAAGAAAGAAAGAAAGAAAGAAAGAAAGAAAGGAAGGAAGAAAGAAAAGACAAAATCCCTTACCAGGCATAGGAACATGCGGTTTAGTGTTGCCAAGGGTAGTTGCAACACAAGAAAGGAAAATGTGCATGCTCTTTGTCCTAGTGTCACCTTGCGGATATTTTTAACCCACCAAGAGTGCTGCCCTGCTTGCGGTACACTGCAGAAAGCCAGCCACCCACCGTCCCACTCACTACTCCTCATGCCTTAGCCGGCCCCTGCTACCTGCCAGCTACTCCACTACATTACCCACTTCCTGCAGTAATACCTTCCAGGGTTTTAAGAAAGATATTTTTCTTTGCTTCTCTTCTATCTCTTAATGTATACATTTAAAAAAAAAGTCCAGTTAACACATCATTGGGAACATTGATCAAAAGCACTTCTTTGCTGAAGACCTCTGACATGGTTTTAGCTTGTTCTTCTCTAGACCCTTCTGATGAAAATATCAGAAATTTACTCTAAGGAAGAAGTTAGCTTTGTCACAATGTCACTATGTCAAGGGAGGGCCCAAGCTGCCTCCTTTATCCCTCTGTTTACACTCAAACCGGTGTCACCATTCTGCACAGTGTGTGTCTGAAGGCCACAGTCGGAAGGGAGTCTGAAGGAAGAAATGGGCTCCTGGCTTTAGTAAGGCAGCGGAACGTAACATAATGACTTAGCAGAGAGTCACAACTATGAAAAGCAGCCCTGCTTGTGTGGGCATCCCCTGTCCCTATCCTGACCCACTCCTCAGTTCTCATCTAATGATCAAAAGTCCATGTGAAGAGCCCACAGGGTGAAAGGCTATCTTACTTATTGTCCTGACCTAGAGGCCTCTGTGCGAACAGACCGCTTAATTTTCATTTCTTCCCCCTATAATCTAAGAAACCTGTTCTGGTTGTTTTCATATAATTAGGGAGCAGATCTGAAATTTTCTCAGATGATTCTAACGCAAAATATTCAGAGAACAAAAGAGGGTATGGTTGACTTGCTTCATGTTAAATTTAACTTGTTTATTTCTGGGTATCTATTGGTTTGGCATTCATTTTTGACCACTTTGAAATAAGCATGTGTCTTTTTAATCTATAAGTTGGCAACAGTCTGGCTTCTCTACTCGTAAGAGTCTCAGAGAGATCACTGTTGCCCAAATAAAAGCAAAAGCAAAAATAAATAAATACTGTATCTGAGTACTTTTTAAATAAAAAGAAGAATCTAGAGCCAAAATTCAAATGAGCTACAGTCTCTTCCTTGCTCCTTCCCTGAAATGGACTCAGTTTGATTATATCTCTTTATTAATCACAATTTCTCTCTCAACACACATAACCTAAAATAATGCTGAACAGGCTCTTCGAAGTGGTTAGATGCCAATGTAGAGTTTCATAGAAATCATCCCATTAAAGAATTTTTCAGCAGAGAATAAAAGTGTGGAGGAAGCAGCATTTTATTTAGAAGGGTGGGCACGTTGTTTTTCAAAAGGTTAGAAAAATACACTTTCCAGGCTGGCTTGGGCAGGAGACTTGTGTTGGTGAAATGCTGTGACTATTCTTTTTTGTTCCACATTACATTTGCATTTGTTGTTGAACTTCTACATCTCTAAAATCTACAGGGGTTATTTTTCAAGGTCATTTTTGGCAGTTTGGTTACTGCTTTCAGGAACTTTTTTGAAATTACATATTTTAATTTTCGAATTGCTTTATAATAGAAACGTGGCCATAAGTATAGTCAAAATAAAGGAAGCAATATGCAAAGCTAGGTTAAATGACAACAGTAAATTAGAGGGCTAGGATATCATCTATAGCTTCTTTAAGAAATAGAAAGATGCTTTCCTAGTAGCCAATGAACTTCACACTAGTTTAAGTTGCGCCCACAAAAACAAGACAGCAAAATATAAAGGTGGAAGCAATAATCATGGGACTATAGAGACAAATATCCACTCTCAGTGTAGAGGGACACTCTGGGTTTGCGTGCCTGCTCCCTGGCCTGTGCCATTGGTCATAGTCTGATGTGGATCCAGGAAGGGTGACCTGTTGTGGCGTGCCCTGAATGACTGAGATAGAAACCCCTACGGTGGCGTGTGCTGCGGAAATATGGTTCTCCCCATTCTTAAGCTTAGGGTGAAGGAAACAATGAAAAGGATTGAAATGGTAAGTAGATTCCATAGTCTGCAGAATGGAACCCTTGAAAAGTAAACATAGTGTCCATCTCATCAGCTTGCTGGCCTGCAATCAATCATGCCTTCACATTTTAAGGCACGTTATGTAATCTGTCATGCCATTATACTTTTTGGTGTTAGGGTTTCAACTCTCCAAATTAAACAAATACATAAATCAAAGGCATTGTTCTCATTGTTCTGATATTGAAAGGTAATTAGAACTGTGTAATTAAAATGTTACTAAGTCAATGCATGTTGACAGGTATGATATTTAAACACAACTATATCTTAGTTGTCCTGAAATTAGGCTTAAAAAGTACTTTGACCTGGGAATGGTAGCTTACACTTATAAGCCAAGTGTTAGGAGGCTTATTATCCCAATATCTGTGAGGCAACAGAATCACCATAACTTTGAGGCCAGCCTCAAAGAGAGACTCTGAGAGACTCTGTAGCACAGGCTGGCCTTGAAATTACCAGTGTGAGCCTCCACAAACAGCTCACAGGACATTTTTTTAAAGGTCACAAAATGCTTAATTTTTCTCAGTTATTACTTACAATGGACAACAATTTTGGAGAGAAACTCTGTTTAACAATCATGAAGAGAAGCTGGTGAGAAGGCTTAGTAGGTAATGGCATCCGAGAATCTGAGTTCAACTCCCAGCATCCACGTCAGACAACTTACAACTGCCTGTAACTCCAGCTCCAGGAGATGCCCCTAACCTCAGGCACATGAACATATACAGACAGCCGCACATGTACATGTAAATAAATAATAAAAAATATTTTTAAAGGAGTCATGGAGAGGGACTAGCAAGAGGGTCCAGTGGGTCAGGGTACTTGTCACCAAGTACCCAGAGTTTACATTGTGGAAGTAGAAAAGCAACTATCACAAATGGTGCTCTGCCCACCACATGTGCACCATGGCACACACAAATCAGTCAATCAACCAACCAACCAATCAATCAATTGATCATTATAAAAAGTATTTTAAAAGAATCATGGAGAAGCAAGTGATCTTAAAAGATCTCCAGTCAACCCATCCCATCATACAATTAAGAAAGTGGAGCATCTCCTAGCTTCTAGCTCATCCTCTAAGCAATGCTAATCAGGCATCCCATGAAACAGGGTAGATAGGAACCAAACTCTTGGGTTCAAATTCTGGCTCTGCTAATTAATCTGCTCTATTGGAAGATTAGAAAATCTGTCTCCATTTTGCCTTGACTCCATTGGCCTTAAATAGGATTAACAATAACAGGAAATAATAATACACAATAAATATAATCATTATTTAGCAAGGATTAAATGAGCTAATATCTGCTGTCTTCCACAGCCTATGGGTACCTTATGAGTGTTACTACTTTCTCTCCTGCAAATATCTCTAAATATAGCTTAGGGGAAAATTCAGCAAATATATTGTATGGAATTCTCAAAGAATTAATAATTTTTTAAAGAAGCAAAATCAATAATAACTAGGCAGGCCCTCCATATGTGTACCAAGTGTTTCCCATTCACATTAACCTCTATTCCTCTTTTTTGTACTAGACTAGACCTTGGATTGGGAAATGCAGCACTTGAAGAGAGAGCAGCTGGCCTCCTAGCAGGGTCTTCATGATAGCTTTCTTTAAGACATGTGAGGAATAGAAGACAGGCAAAGTAGTACATAGAAACTGATTGAGAAACTATGAATATATGGGTCTGGGTCACCTCAAATGGCATTGTTATTTTTGGTTGAAGTCATCAGCCCTATTCTGTTCCATACATTTATCAATAATTTAAGCTGATTTACTGAGGGCTTGCTTCTTTGCAGATAAAGGCAAAACAGATATATGAGCCCTAAAAATTAAATCTGAGATTAATAAAGCTGACTGCAAAGGTTCCTTATAAATTTGGCAGTTTGCAAGACTTTTTTGAACAATTTAGTAAGACTAACATTGTTCTAAGGTTGAATTTTGGAACAGAGAAAGAATTTATGAAAGTAATCCCTCCAATGTGGCATCTAACTTTCCATGTCTAGGATGTTTTAGCACCTCTGTGAATAGCTGAGAAGACAGTTATGAAATCATGCCAAGCAGTAATGGCTCTAAATAACATAGCTGGGTAAGAACTATGGAAAATATCTCCATTAATTTTGTCCAGTTTTCTTATAAAGAACTCATGTCAGTAGGCAGTTTCTTTGATATAGCAATGGTTGCGGCCAGATAAGAAGAGCGCAGCTGTCTCAATGCCCTGTGCCAGCTTTGCTTGGAGATGAACTTCTTGTGATGGATTGATTCCTTTTAGGACCCTGTGTAATGTGATCTCTGAATTAGGATTTCTCAGAACTTATTCTCATCAGTTACATAGCAGGAACACAGCTTTTATATTTGTTATTTCTGATGACCTTCTATGGTGTCAAATGACCTGAATGAATTAATTTTTAATGATAAATTACACGATTATATCTAGAGTTCATTGTGAGTACACTAAAGGGATTTTTATTTGAAGATGAAAATATGCTTATTTTATGTCCTGCTGTAGGGGTAAAATGCAGTGTGAAGCCTCAAGACTTTTCTGTTGTCCTGTTGAATACTTGTCTTGCAATATTCTTGTTTCAATGTTCTAGAGTTACTGACTAAATATAAAGTATTTTCAGCCATCTCTTAGAGATGGCTGGTGATGCATCCTCAAAACTGGTCTCTACAAAGCAATGAAATGGTGTATTCTATGTGCCACAAGATGCCAGGCAGTTCCGTGGTTTTCTAGTTGAGTGACAATTAGCAAGTGTAAGCCAGTTAAATTCAGACTAAAACCTGGAAAGGATTGTATTGATTCTTTAGTATATGAGATACCTACTACATGTTAGTTTGTGACTTTCTTAAATGGAGTCCTTTAGATCTGAGACTGCGTAGAAGGGAGAAGAGGAGGCCACTCACCTAAGTGTTTCACATTGCAGAACTGGGGACCATCACTTCTGTTCCACCTGTTGAACAGTGACGAAATATTGCTTTTTATTATGTTAAAGCTAAAATGCACAGTGACTTTATGTCTCTTGTCTTTCAATAATGGATTCATCGACCCTACCTACATGGTTTAGTAGGAAAATGCTAGAATTTTCTGAGCTGTCTTATTTGCTATTCAAGACTTGTAATAGTAGGAAATGATGTATTTGGGTGTGTTTGTTTGTTTGTTTGTGTATCATTTAAATGATTGGTCCAGGACAGAGACAAAATATAGCTGTATTCAATAAGAGAATGGATAGATGGCTTCATGTTACCTGCCAAGCATGACTCCTAATTCAGTCTATTTATAATGAGTTTATGACCATAAAGACCAAATAGTTGAAAGCTCAAAGATGTTTTTATTTTAGAAAATGTATTCTGCTGGATTAAAATTTAAATTGAGGGTATCACGATCAAGGGTAAGACTTTTTCTTTTTCCCTGATGAATAGAAATCTCAAGCTAACTAGCATGCCTTTGTGCCAATATCGACATCATACTTGGTTTTATCAAATCTTTGGGTCCCCTCCCTTAGTTGTTGACTCATCTGCAGAGAGGCCGTGGCCAGGAGCATGGCTTCTTAGGCCGTCTTGACTCTTTCTCAGTCTCACTGAGTTGCTTTTTGTCTTAAGAAATAAAAGATGTGATCTAGTCTGTTTAACAACCTCATTCTCTGCAGCATAACCCTAAAGTTTACATTTCTCCCCGAGACTTCTTCTCCTGCCTCCCTCCTTTCCTGGTGTTTTTCATTCTTTTGCGTAGGCAGAGCGTAGCTGCTCAGTCTTGTAAGCTGCTACTTAGCACATACGAATGGATACCATTAGTCCAAAGAATAAAATGTTTGTCTGCAGGCTTAGCCACGTGCACTGCCCCATGTTTTGAGCCTCAATAAATGAGACTTTTTTCCCTTGAACATTTTTATTTTCAGAGTATTTTATCTATATTCCCAGATAACTTGAGTTCCTTTAAACTCTGCAAACTTTGTTCTTTATGATTTAGTATTTCAAATGAACATGTTTATCTTCCTATTTTGCTGTGAAGTTTACCAAAGTTTCAGGTAGTCCTCACTGATTTTGTAGCTCTGGCGCTTTCTAAAGCAAAACACTTACTTAGTTAGAAGGCACGAGAGCAGACCCTTTCTTCTCTCACAGATTGCTGCTTGTTCTTAACTTCTTACATCTCAGTGGCCTTATCATAATCTCAGCAGCCTGGGATCAGTAGTTCTCAAAGCTGACAATCACATGGTCACTTGAATAATTTGAGCAGCTTTTAAGAGTGTGCATGTTTTCGTGTGTGTGTGTATGTAAATATACATGTGTATACATGTTTGTTGCCCTGCCTGTCAGCCATGTCTGGACCTTCATTTAAGTCTACTGTATATGGGATGTGTTAAGGATTTGTGTATTGATACTTGTTCCTAGTTTCCCTGGGTTACTCTAAGCATGTACCAAGAGTAAGAGGTCTTAAAACCTGTTCATCTGACTCTGACGTTCTAGACCAGATTATGATCTGGTATTTCTTGATATCAAGCTTAAGCACATTTGTTTCATATAGCTGTATACAGTTTCAAGCTTCATGTTGAAAGATCAATATGAAGGAGTTCTGTGATTTAGACTTTAAGAATCCCAGATTCTAAGATTGGAGCAAGTACTAGACTTATGGAAATCACTAAATGGCAAGTGCACTCAAAGACTTCAGTGTAGAGTATTGCATCTCATGGAAAACAGTATGCCATCTGAGATCTACTTTCAAGTCTTTTAGATCTAGTTGTGAAGCTTTTCTTAGTATTTCCTTGTTCTGTCGGGTGAGGGGTGTTGCCCCTGTGCCACAGTGAACAGATGGACCTGAGAGAATGAGCTGAGGAGTTGGTTCTCTCCTTCCAACAAGTGAGTTTCAAGCATCAAGGTCAGGTCATCAGACTTGGTGACAAGGGCTTTTACCCACTGAACCATTTTGCCAGCCCAATACTTCTTGTTATTTTCCAACTAAGGAAAGGAGTATTGTGAAATGTGGCTTGTGATAAATAGAAATAAACACCACCTTCTTGTGGTCGGTATTTTGTGCTCTTTTTTTTTCCTCTGACTGATTACCTAAAAATAATTTGTATGGGTTTGGCATCTATAAGGCTCTTTTCCACTCTTCATAATTTATGCGTTCTCCCTCCACCTGCTCTTGGGCAGCTTCTGAAATTACAAGTGCAAAGCACAGTCAGAAGCATGCTAATCCTATGTACTAGGCAGAGAGACACAGTCAGAAGCATGCTAATCCTGTGTACTAGGCAGAGAGGCACAGTCAGAAGCATGCTAAGCCTGTGTACTAGGCAGGGAGCACAGTCAGAAGCATGCTAATCTTGTGTACTAGGCAGAGAGGCACAGTCAGAAGCATGCTAAGCCTGTGTACTAGGCAGAGAGGCACAGCCAGAAGCATGCTAATCCTGTATACTAAGCAGAAGCACAGGGAGAAGCATTCTAATCCTATGCAATAGGTAGAGAGGCTTGCACAGTTAGAAGCAAGCTAATCCTGTATACTAAGCAGAGAGACACAGAAAGAAAGAAACAAGCTAATCTTGTATGCTAGCCAGTGACACAAGAAGAAACATACTAATCCTGTATGCCAGGCAGAGGCAGAGAGAGAAGTCTTACTAAATTACCCACACAGAGTTTGTACACTCTTGGTACATAGGATCTCACAAGTCTAACATGGCTTCTTAGTTGTCAGGATAGTCATGGTGCTATGTGCATGCACCCTTTCCCCAAACACTCATGGCTCTGCCAGTGGTGCTCCTGCTTGGAAAGGTTTCTGTCACTTCTCTATTGGGGAAATTGGAATTAGACACAATGGATATGTACCTTCCAGGGTATTTCTTGGGGCGGCCCTAGCAAATTCTGGTCTGAAAGCAAGTGAATAGAGATAAAGTCATGTGGTGGCCATGAGATACTGTGGTAATTTCAGTTAGACATAGTGTCTACTATAGACATTAGATATGAAGCAAGAAGCCACCTAATGGGTCATGACCTAAAACATTCAGGAAATCAAGGCGATGATGCTTTCAAGAACAGTGTTAACCTCTTAAACCACATCTACTTTCCAGAGCCCATCCCTTCCTGGCAGCAAGAGAATGCAGACTCTGATGAAGCCCGCCTCTCCCCACAGGCTGGGCGCCTGATTCACCAGTTTCTGGATGAGGACAGCGACCCTATGCTGTCTCCCAGGTTCTATGCCTATGGGCAGAGCAGGCAGTACCTGGATGACACAGAAGTGCCTCCTTCTCCCCCCAATTCCCATTCTTTCATGAGGTACGTTCTGTGTTACTGATAAGCAACTACAACAGCCACATAGCATCAGAACAGACAGAATGGCACTGTTGGCTAGCCCAGTTAGTAAAAAATTAAATTGGGGGTTTGTGGCGAAAGTTCTCCATCCTAGTATGCAGCCTGTGTTGGAGTTTCCACTTGAGCTGTGGCCCAACTGTAGATTTCATTTTGAATTCCAGCTAGTGCCTTTTTTCTAAAGCTCTGTCAAACTTAACATTTAGGCTTGGAGTCTGTCTCAGATTGTCTTGATAATGTAAGAGGGAGTGAGAGAAACACAGACTTATTTAATAGGTGGCATATACAGAACTCAGATGCACTCAGAAAACACATCCGTCCACTTGGGTTTTATCAAAGGGGAGGGGATGTTTTCACTCCTCTGTGCCATATACTCTCATATCCTGAAGGACCCTCCCCCACACTGCTATTAGTCATTCATGGGGCAGCTAACCCAGGCCATGTTCTTTGCAGGCGGCGGAGCTCCTCCCTGGGGTCCTATGATGATGAGCAAGAGGACCTGACACCCGTGCAGCTCACCAGAAGGATCCAGACCCTTAAAAAGAAGATCCGGAAGTTTGAGGACAGGTTTGAAGAAGAGAGGAAGTACAGAGTGAGTTCTCTGTAGGATCAATCTCCTCACCCCAATATACCCTTCAGCTGGTAGAGCTCCAGTTCTCAACTTGTGGGTCTCATATGAGATACACTACATGTCTGATAGTTATAGCACATTTCCTAACAGTAGCAAGATTATAGTTATGACATAACAAAAAAATAATTTTATGGTTGAGGGTCACCATAACATGAGTAACTGTATTAAAGGGTCACAGCATTAGGAAAGCTGAGAACCATTGATTTAGAAGATACCAGAAGCTGATTAAAGAATAGAATTTAATTTGTTGGGCTAAACTTTGATTCAAGATTATCTTCTACAGCGTCCTCCATGCTGGGCTCCTTCCATTGTTGGCTGTGTCTTGTTTTCCCAAGCCAGTGACAAGAGGGCATTTTTCATGGTGGCTGGAATAATATAAGCCATACTCTTCCACGTCTTACTTCACTAGCTGAAACATAAATAACAGAAAAGGGCATGTGGACCCCACAGAAGTCCATGATCATAAAGATCCAGTATTCTGCCCTTAAGGAAATTAGTATATCAGAAATAAGCAGTAAAATATTTACTTTATGGAGGTGGAGAGATGGTTCAGTGGTTAAGAGCACTGTCTGTTCTTCCAAAGGACTCAGGTTCAATTCCCAGTTATACATGGCAGCTTACAACTGTCTGTAACTCCAGTTCCTAAGGAATCTGATACTCTCACACTAATGCACATACCATGAAGTTAAATAAATCATTTTTAAAAATACTTACTCTAGACTTTCTTTTCCCAGCCCTCCCACAGTGACAAGGCAGCAAATCCAGAGGTTCTGAAATGGACAAATGACTTGGCCAAATTCCGGAAACAGCTTAAAGGTAAGTGAAGTTGTAAACTTACTGATGTAGCTTGTGTACAATAAACCAGGAGCCAAATCCCTTGTGTCCTGCTGAGTGTCACCAGAGTGTCACTACTGGGGCTTCCCAGGCTTGGAGACACTTCCCAGTTCACCCAGTTCTTTTTGGAATGCCATCCCAAGACTTTGGAGTGCCTCATGTCACAAGACAACCAGACAAGATATGATATGAATTCCTCAACATGTCTGTATTTCTGCACACTCCTAGAAAGATGGTTCCACGTTAGTACTCCTTTCACCCATTTATTCTAAAGTTGCACATGCTGGAGTGTTAGAAGGGATTTCATCAGAGATAAATCTGAAAGGGCGAGGCCCATTCCACTTGAACAGCATTCTGTATTTGGGGATACAACACAGAAACAACTAAATGAAATGTAATCAGATATGCAGTGGATTGGATGAGCAGTGGTCGGTGTCTGATTTTAGATCAGCACATCTGTATGGACTGTATGCACATCGATATGCCTTTGAAATGCTTCTGCCTATTTCTGACATCAGATCCCAAACCAAGGTGACCAAAAGTCAGGTCCTAAAAGCTAACAATTTCCCAGGAATTAGAGTTTGGGAAACATTTCTGAAGATCTAGAAGCAGTCTATTGCCCTTTGGTTTAGGTAATGATCCAGGGATTTCCATTTCACTATAATTCAGTTCTCTCTGACTAAAAAGAGACATGGCTAAGCAGTTATTGACATGGCAAATAAATCTGGGTTCAGCATACCTCAGTCTCATGTATCTATGTTTATAAATCGAATTGCCTAGAATCAAAACTGAAGATCTCTGAAGAGGACCTCACCCCCAGGACACGGCAACGAAGCAATACACTCCCTAAGAGTTTTGGTTCCCAGCTAGAAAAAGAAGATGAGAAGAAGCAAGAACTGGTGGATAAAGCCATCAGGCCCAGCGTTGAAGCAACCCTGGAAGGGATACTAAGGAAGCTCCAAGAGAAGAGAGTGGAGTCCAGCCGTCCGGAGGACATTAAGGTGGGATGCTCATAGAGAGCCCGAGGGAATTGCCCTCAGTGTAGTCAACACAGTAAAAGCACAGGCCATGCAGACTGGTGTTAATACCTTTGCCACACTTGCTTCCCAGCCAGGAGACACTCTGTTCTGCTGTCTCCTGGAATCACACTAAGCCCAGTGAAAAGGAGGAAGAGGACAAGGAACATGAATTTCTCCAAGCACAATGACACCTTTTAAAGCTTCTCACACGTGTAAAGAGGCACGTGAAAACTGCAATGTTTTATCTGTGGGCACTCTGGTTTCTGACTACTGATTGAAAGCAGATGGTTCTGTTGACTCTATTGTAAAATACACTTATTGAGGCTAATAGATGGATTGACTCTCTGAGTAGGGGATGACAGGCAAACCTTTGGAGTGTGTAACCTGTAACTGCAGTATTTCTGGGTCCATTAAGCTCAGCCCAAGTCTTCAGTGTGCCTTTCCTGCCATGTGGGTGATCCAGGTAGCTGATGGCAATGGTCATCTCTGCACTCCGTGCTTCTGGTGGGAGGTCAAGAGGCTCTCCTTGCTATGTGAACTTTGAACAGAGCATTCTAACCCTTCCTTTAGATGAGCTTGAATACATAAAAAGGTTGAGATGTGCACAAATGTTTTCCTCATATTTCCTTTCTTACCACTGTGTTTACACAGGATATGACCAAGGACCAGATTGCTAATGAGAAAGTGGCTCTGCAGAAAGCTCTGTTATACTACGAAAGTATCCATGGGCGGCCGGTATGTGATGCACCAGACTGTCTCAGTGGGATCAGTTTTTTGGTTTTGGAAAGGTTCTATAATTTAGTTTCATCCAGGAACTAGGGACCCTAATACATGTTCTCTTCTCTGGTATAAGAAAGGAAGCTTAATGCATATTCCTACCATGTCTAAGTATTTTTGAAGGCATGGCCAATAGACCTTGAACATAACTGAGTTTCAGCAAAAGTTAGTCTGCAACTAAACTTAAGTTGTCAGTCTCCTATTGAAAGAGAAGAGAGGTAAAGGGGAGGGGAAATCTTGTGTAGGGTTCATAAAACTTTAAAGTAAGGAGACCTCCTGCCCAAGTCAGTCCTCATAAGCTGTAGCTAACTCTAGGCTTCCACCGGCATATTATAAAAGGTCTAAGCTTGAATGATGGATCATAAAACAGTCATTCTGTGCTTCAGGACACAGCCAGCATCTGTAAAGGACTTCTAGCAACATATAGAACCCATTTTATGAAGTGCAAAATGTAGCTGTGGCTTCTTATCAAACTAGTAAGCACCTGAGGTGGTTTGGTGTTCATAAGCACGAGTTGATGCTTTAGCTATTTCTTGATAGCTTTAGGGAAACCCATAGTAAGACAGAATTCATTCTACTCTCTTCTTTGAGGAACCTAGCCATCCTTGCTGCCTATTACTCTTCACAGTCTCCTATTCAGATAGTTGACATGAAAAAAAATGTCACAATAGCAATTTCTACAGGCAGGTATAAGGAAGCATGAGATTTAGTTTCACTGAGTTTTATAAAGCCCCAAATACAGGGCTTTTCCACTGTTGTAACTACTCATTTAATGAATTAATAGGTTGAATTTAATCCTTTCTTGTAAAAGACATTCTCTTTAATGTAGAAGCTTCCAGCATGATATATAAAACTCCTTTTAAACAAGACACAGTATGAAACTGGGTTCTTCAGGGGCTAGGCAAACGCTCTACCACAGAACTATCACTCCAATCATGGTTTTAAGGGGTGAGGATTCTGGGTATTGTTTACCTAATAGTGAATCCAATGCTCAGTGGCTGGTACAAACCCTGTCATATAGTGTAAGCCCAGGGCTTATAGTGTATACATATAGTGTATACACAGAAGGCATCCTCTAGTTCTCATATTTTTTTTTTGGCTTTGAAAAATTCTGCCCCTGGTGCTGATTCATTTTGCTGGACTGTTCCTGCAATGGAAAAGTACTAGAACTCTAGGATAATGTTCATGTGTCAGCCAAGTTTTATTTCAGATTTTTTTTAAGGCACTGAACCAAATAGTAAGTGCTCCAGAGTTCAAAGATTGTGAAATTTTGTCTTTCTGTACTGGAGTATTTAGGATTGGGGGAGGCAGAGTTGAACTGTTGTAAACAGAGAAGAGGCCCTTTGCCACACAAGCTTGGAATTCTAAGTATAGACCGTGTGACCACCAGGAGACTCCCATGACCCTGTTTCCCACTTTGCATAGTTCATAGTTCTTCCCTTCACATAGATTCTAGCTGGAATATTAACAGACTCCTTCCAGGGCTTCCTAGCCTGTGCCTCCCACTGGAGAGAGCACATAGCTGTGTTCCAAGAAATTGAACTTCACTGCTGTATCACTGGGTTGTATGGTGGAGGTGTGGGGATTGTTATTGTGTTTTTATTTTTGCTTTTGTTGTGTGGGGCGGTGGGGAGGGCTTTAAGTTGGGAAGATTTTCTTTATATCTGTACTTTGCTCCATGGTACAGACACTGTGCCTCAGAATTGTAGGAACTCAGCTTGGCAGACCTGGAACTACTTAAGTTATCACTTGGACTCTTGGTACTTGGTTGATAGATACCTGTTATGGTTGTCATGGCAGTAAAAAGAAATTAGAGACACACGGAGACACTTAGACATATATCAATGTGTAAGCTAAAAACAGAGGAAGTAAATAGCAACTTTGGGCTGCATGGTAAATGACAGGTCTCACTGCCACTGCAATCACACGTTCTCCCTCCTGCTGCTTGACAGTAGATGATTATAGTGGGGCAAAGAGTGTGCTCTTCTTACCTGTATGTTATTAAAAATACAAAGTATTAGTCCTTTGTCTTGCCTTATCCCCCCTCAGAAAGATCAAGATTTATGCATCTCACAGGGTAGAGAACAAATTGAGAAACAAATATTAGTGTCATTTGTCCCCAATCTCAGGTCTTTTTGCCTCTCTCTAAGACACAATGCTCTAACCTCCCCAGAAAAAAAACCAAACTTCCCTGATAGATGCCCAGTCTGAAAATCAAACTAAACTTTTATTTTTTACTATACTTAACCTCAAACCATAAAAACTATTAGACAAAAAATCCATATATTTCCAGTGCTAGGCTGTCATTCCAAGTCCTTTTATTTCATCAAGTATAGGTGCAGAATTCATGAGTTTTTCTAAGTCTGCAGATTCCAATTTAACAGGCCATTGACCATGATGATCATAGCTAAACAGTCATGTACTACACAGTTCTCAGCCAAGCTGTTTGCTTTAATTGAGCACTCTGTAGAGGGACATGTGCGACATACACAAAACAAGTGGGCTCATCATTCTCTGCAAGCTATTGTTAAAATGTATTCTCTTCAACAAGAGTGTTGGAAGTCTTTTAAAATGTCACAAAAAAATATAGCAAATAGTTGAAGCCCCCATATCACTGGTCATAATAAATGTGCAGGGGGAGAGACTAGGTTGCTTGACCTGTGCTTCTGGCTTCTTCTGACTTCTTTCCCATGCTGGTACATTTTAGTTCTGTGTTTCAAAACCATTGACTAACACAGCACTGAGTGTAGCCAAGTTAACATTTAAATTACATACCCATTTATAAACACTGTCCTCTGTTTAGCTGTTGTCTTGGATTTTCTGATCTTTACACAAACATCCTACTATTCTTAACTTATGAAAGAGTTGCCATTTCCTAAATTAATGGGCCCAGAGTGCAGGAGTTCAAATAACCCATCATCACACTGCTAGGTCCAGCTTCATTCAGGTCTGATGTTTTTGTGAATAAAAAGAAACCTGAGCTGGGAGTTGGTATATCCACTTCTCCATCTAAGTTCTCTCAGTGCTTTAGCCCCTAAAGAATAAGGCGTGTCTAGCTCTCAGACTCAATGGCTTTAATTTTGTCTTTATCATCAAGGTAAATATGTCACTGCTTTTGGTGTTCCTTTACATCCAGGTAACATTAACCAACTTGTAGAAAAGTTTTGTGGAGGTGAAGAGAAAAATCCTCACAACATAAAGGCAGGCACGTGGGGCCGTCTAATCTGGACTTAATCCTTTCTACCCAGGATTTGTCTCTAGTTAAATATAAATAATTATTCGATAGTGCCCACGTCTTGAGTTTTAAAATAGTATCTGACTCTTCTAGAGTAATCAAAAACAGGGTAGTAAGTGACAATAGAAGTGACTCTGTGTCATACTGAAGTCCACAGTAGAGATGCTGCTATATTCCTAATCTTCCTGTCTCATGTTTATGGTGTTTTGTTTTGTTTTGTTTTGTTTTGTTTTGTTTTGTTTTGTTTTGTTTTGTTTTGTTTTGAGACAGGATCTCACTGTGTAACCCTGGATATTGCTATGTTGACCAGGCTGGCCTTGAACTCACAGAGATCTATCTGCCTCTGCCTCCTGAGTTCTGGAATTTAAAGGCATGTGCTACCACATTGGCTAATATTGCTTTGCTTTGTATTTAAAAAAAAAAACAGTAAGAACTCCGTTTCCACACACTCCAAAGGATTCAGTACTACCAACTAACTTTAAACTAAGGTTTTGAAAGAGGGGAAAAAGGATTTTGAAGGGATGATATATACATGTTTGGCTGAACATAATTTTCAAGTAATTACGAATCAACTATTTTCTAAACTAACTTCTTCAGCTTACCATCAGAAACTGACACACAGGGAATTCTGATGGTTTGTTTGTTCAGTATATACATGTTTAAGAGTGTGAAGAATGAGCCATAAATTCACTCATGTGCCAAATGGCTCACCAGAATGCCCTTACCAGCAGCCAGAACTGGCATGTTAGCTGTTAGGATAAGAGTGTAGTAGTAATAATAATGCCTTTTATCCCATGTGAAATGACTTCTGAGTCACCTTGCCGTCCCAACAGCCATTTTTAATGAAGTAGCCAGTTGTAAATAACGTGACTAATTTTAAAATTCCATTCCATATGACATATCCTAGAAGCAGAACATTTCAGTCTCTTAAAACTACAATAATAAAGACGAATGTAAAGACGGTTATTGTTGCTAACAGCAGGAAGTAGTACCCTGTTAGCTTGTAAAACGTTATCCTAAGTGATTTACTGTTGATCATGTTGAGAAAGGCAGATGCAAAAGCCACACAGGACAGCATAGTTACATAATTCAGAACTGTCTTTGAAGGTGAATCTTCCAACAACTCTGAGAGAAATGGTAAAGCCACGTATCTTACACCATCCCCTACCTGAGAAGCTCTTGCTTCCTCTTTCATGAAATGGGAATCAAATGCAGAAGCCCAGCAACCAAGTCTAAAAAGATACTTTCCTTACTGTGCACTGGGGTAGTCAAAGCAAATACATGCATACCTATCTGTTGAGCATAGCTAGATAGGTTTGAAATATTCATTCCCTAACATTGCAAATATGTATAGAATGTTTCTATTGTATGAGGTACTCAGGATATGAAAATATAAGCCCTTGAGTTCAACAGGTTATATTGTAAATCAGAAGATACATATGTGACCATTTATGATACAGTGTAAAAATGTTTGAAATTACAAAGCATTCCAACCACAGGATGTGCTGTCTTAGTTAGCATTTCTGTTGCTGTGATAAATGCCAGGACCAAAAACCACTTGGGAAGGAAGTGGTTCATTTCATTTTATAGCTTATAGTTCATCATGAAGGGAAGCAGAGCATGAACCTGGAGGCAGGAATTGATGCAGGGACCATGAAGAAATGCTGCTTACTGACTTACTCATCATGAATTACTTAGCCTAGTTTCTTATAGCACTGGGGACTACTAGCCCAAGGGTGACGTTACCCACATCAAGTTGGTCCTCTGTATTAGTTAGGGTTTTATTTCTGTGAAGAGACACCATGACCACGTCAAATCTTATAAAGGAAAACATTTAGTTGGGGCTGGCTTACAATTCAGAGATTTAGCCCATTATTGTCAAGGCAGGAGGCATTGGATCATTGCTTGCAGACAAAGTACTGACAAGATAGCTAAGAGTTATACATCTAGATCCACAGGCAGCCAGAAAAGAATGCCACACTAGACCTGGCTTGAGCATCTGAGACCTCAAAGCCCATCTCCAGTGACACACTGTGTCCAACAAGGCCACACCTATTCCAATGAGGCTATACTTCCTAATAGTGCCCCTCACTATGAGCATATATGGGCCATTTTCTTTCACAACCCCACACCTGCCCACATCATTATAAAGAAAATACACCACAGGCTTGCTCACAGACCAATCTGATGGAGACATTTTCTTAGCTGAGGTTCTTTCTTCCAAAATGACTGTAGTCTGTGTCAAACTGACATAAAACTAGGCAGTACAGGTGGTGATGTGGAGGACAGGATGACTTTCAAATTGGAGCACAAGGAAAAAGTGTTGTGCCAAGACAGCTTCTAATCTGCCACTTCCAAACAAAGACAAGAGAAAGCCTCTTGAGTGCAGAGGGAATCGTACAGAACTAGTAATGAGATGACTTCGTCTATCTCTGGAGTTTGACATACAGTGGGGAGGAGAGACATCATGAATGACGACGGGTTTCAAATCCGGTACAAGGAAACTGAACTGGATTCCTTCCTGCTGCTCAGAGATTTTGAGCAGTGTGCCAGATGCGGATAGTGAGGTTGAATCATCCAACAGATTCCAGCAACAAATGTTCCTTGAGTACTCTCTGTCTGCCAGAATCATAAGAGGGAACAGTTTCATGTGGAAGAAATTCATCCAAATAAGTTGATTACAGTACCATGTAATAAGCATAATTATAATAGAAATCTTGCCTCATCCTTTGTGCCCGCCCCTGCCCCAGATAATGAACCACTTGGAGATTTTGAACCTTGAGTTGCTTGGATTTTGTGTTTTGTTTTGTTTTGTTTTGTTTTTTGTCAGAAGACAAATCGTGGGAGTCAAATCTCTCCTTCTACCATGTGAGGACTGGATAGCAAGCTCAGGTCATCAGGCTTGGCGAATAAGTAACTTTACCTGCTGCTTCCTCACACATTGAAGAGTTTTTTGCTTGTTTGGGGGCAGAAGGTTGCTTAAATTTCATGTACTTCTTTTTATGTGTATTGGTATTTTGCCTGCATGTATGTTTGTATACTATACCTGGAGTCCATAGAAGCCATAAGAGGACATTGGATCCCCTGTAACTGGTTACAGGGGATTATGAGCTACTATATGAATACTAGGAATTGTGCCCAGATCCTCTAAAAGTGCAGTTGGTGTTTTAAGCCAATGAACCATCTGTACACCCACCTCTCCCCCACTTAGTTTTAAATAGCAGTAGAATTACCATAGTGGGCTGAGGACATAGCACATTATTCAGGTCTTGAAGAAAGTATACTAGTAGAGTGATTTCCACTGATCTGCAGTAGAAACCTGCAGGATTTTTATTAATTAAATATTATCATCAGTTTAAATAAGTTTTGTAAATTGTATCATCTCTGTATATTCTCTTGGGCCACAAAAGCCCAGAGCATGCTGGGGACAAGGGAGAGCATGACCTGGGAACCAGCTTCTCACTTGTCCCATTCTTGCTTTTCAGGTGACAAAGACTGAGCGTCAGATTATGAAGCCACTATATGATCGGTACCGACTAGTCAAACAGATCCTGTCCCGGGCCAGCACTGTCCCCATCATGGTGAGTACACCCTTCTCTTTTTGTTGGCAGCCCCTGGTTATGCTACAAGCACTTGTCCTTGGTGGGTTTTAACTCCTGCTATAATGAACACATGAACAGAAAAGCAACTTGGGGAAGAAAAGTTTTATTTCACCTCGTAGTTTATACTATGTCTTGAAGAGAAGTTGGGAAAGGGACTCAAGGGAAGAACCTGGAGGCAGGAATTGGTACAGAGGCCATGGTGGAACATTGCTTATTGGCATGTTTTCCATGACTTACTTAGCCTGCTTTCTTATACAACCCAGGACCAGCTGCCCAAGGTTACTACTTCCCACAATGGGCTAGCCTCTCCCACATCAACCAAGAAAAAGTCTCACAGATATGCTCCAGGCCAATCTAATGAAGCATTTCCTCAATTGAGGCGCTCTCCTCTCAGGTGACTCTAAATTGTGTCAAATTGACAAAAATTCACCAGCCCAGGGCCTTAACCAGTACCATTTACCATTGTGGGTATAACCATCCCTTTCTATTGGAGGAGCCCCACTTATGCTAATAGGATCCTAACCTGCATTCTCATCAAAGATCAGGCTATGGTAGTTGCACCAGCCATTCATATCCATGCCCCAAGACTTGAGGAATGACTTAATCATATATACATTCCTCTAGCATACACAGAACCAACACCTAAAGCCATTCCTTAGAGACAGAGCTCAAGGCATAGGGATGGATTTTCCCTAGGCACTTCATTCCAAAAAGTACCTCTCTGGTGCTGTCTGTTTATAGTGTCTCCCTGCTCCCTAGGAAGTTGACCCAAGGAGGACCTTTATGTTGGAGGCTATAGTGGTAGAAAGGAAGAAGCAAGAAGTTGAGGAAGCTCGTGGTTGGGAAGCTGCCTAGTCATGACCCACATCCTGGGGTATAACTGTTGTTGGTTAGCATCTGAATTTCATCTTGTCAAAGGGAATAACAGTCTGTCTCTGGTTGTAGGCAGTATTTTAACACTGACAGAGCTCTACCTACAGCCCAACAATGTCCTCCTTAGACTAGATATAGTTAGGATGTTAGCCTGTTCATCTCTGAGAGAAGCATTAGCTGATTATCCCCCTCATCCTCTCTGCTGTCACAACCTTGATGTGATGTCACTCCTAGGACATTTGCTATTTAGCTGCTGCCCTTATCTAGGGCTTCACTAAATCGTAGGATTCATTCCTTCATTTTCAGGCCTAGTGTATGCTCCTTCATTTTTGATGCTCCTTTTAATAGTGAACTTATTTTTATGAATGAGAGACAATCCAGAAACTCTAGGCAGGTGTAATTAAAGAATGTTCCTCTTCTGCAAATTTCCTGCAGAACAGACTAATAAATAAAATGAGGTAATGTAAGGAATCATTGTCTTCCACCAGTTAGGAATACTCAGGGTTCCTAAATAGGGTGAATGCAGAACAGATTATAAATTCATTAACCTTTATATGTCTATTTGACCTTGAGCTACTTTCTTTTACTCATCACAGTTAGGTGGAGATGCTGGGCCTAGAGAGGATGTGGGAAAATCAGTGCTTTCCTCAGGAGATTCCTGAGTACTTGGTTTTAAAAGCTTGTGCTTTCTTTCTCTGTCTTCTGATATGTAGGTGTGGGCTTTGAAGGGAAAAAGAACTTTCACTGTGTTAGGTTTTTTGGGGAGCTTTTGATGGGAAATGATTATAAAATGCAGTTAAAATACCATAGTATTGATCAAAGTGACGGAGAGCTCTAAGGCAGGGAAAGGGGTTCATAACATAACCTATTTGTTAACACTTGTCACAGGGTTCCCCCTCCAGCAAACGGAGAAGCCCTTCACTGCAGCCGATTATCGAGGGCGAAACTGCTTCCTTCTTCAAGGAGATAAAGGTGAAGAGCATGGTGTTAACACCACCTCGCTAACCCCCTTGTCACCCTGCGTAACAGCCCTTGGGTGCCTGTTCTAGTAGTGTTTCATCCAAGGCAGTAGCTACCTGAGCCAACTGTGACTAGTCACACCCTATTCATTTTGTAGCCTTTCGGATTCCCTTCCATTCTCCTTTGTTGGTTTGTTCTTTCCTTCTCCTTTGATTGCAGAGACTTTTTTTGTTTCTCACCTAACCTTGGTTTTTGTTTTGTTTTGTTTTGTTTTGTTTTGTTTTGTTTTGTTTTAAATCATGGTTACTTTTTAGAACTTATTTGGAGCCAGAGAAAAGTTAAACCCAAAGTAGAAGAAAGTTTTAAGAGTCCCCACCTGTCATATTTCTGTGACATTCTAAGCTGATGGTGGTCATTTAGTCCCTATAGTTAGGAATGATTATCTCAGAAAAACCTATTGAGGATGATGAATTGAAGCTTCATTCTCTTGCCTGAGGTAAGGTAAACCACACTACAATACCCAATTTTAATGTATTAGACAGACTGTTCTTGATAATCACGTTACTAAATAGGATCTGAATTATGAGTACAATGCTGGAACATCCAGACTAGTGTGCTATATTATATTTTTTTAAATTACAGCTATTTTCTTACAATATGCTTTGATATCAATGAAAGGCAACAGGCTTTGTCCATCTGGTAGTTTTACAGATGAACTGAATGTTGATAATTGAAGAAATTTGGATAGTTTGTATATGAAAATTAGCATGCTTCTTTCAGCAGCATATAATGGACTTATTACCAGGTAAAAACATTCTCTTGAATACATGCAAGATGTGACACTTAATAATTGCCTCATTAAGTGAATGGTAGATATCCTAATGACGCTTTTCTTGGACGAGGACATTATACCCATTCCTATTCTTTAGCAATTTTTTTTTAAAGAAGATGTTTTTTTTTTCTGTGGCTGATTTCCCACTGGCTCATATCATGGTCAAAATTACAAGTAATTTTGCAGTAGTTCCATTGCTTTTGTAAACACTGCTGTCTTTTGGTTCATTTTGTTCTAATAGGACAGGGTTATTAACGTGCTCTTGATATGCACTGACACAGAAGTTCTAATACAATGCACAATTTCACGTGTTTAGAAATAAAAAGACCAAGTCTAAGAAGTTTCTTTAAAACTTATACTTTATTTTACTTACTTTTCCAAAGAAACCAGTTTGTATGAAATAGAGCTAGTTCGAGTTCTGAAGATTCTGAAGGACTTCAACCCAAAATAAGACCAGAGAATTTTGTACCTCCAAGAACTCTCCAAACACAGTGAAATAGGATTCTACTCTCAAGATTGAAACTTACAGAGCAGTGGGAGTGTGAGGCTGCATATTCCCTGAGCTGAGTGTCCAAAGCAACTAACATCTTAGCAGTTTCCTAAACAGCTTTCATAACAAAGTAGAATATAATTAATTGTATAGCATGTAATTTTAGAATGTATTAGTTTGATAAATGTAAAATAATCAGTGAAAACATTTTTGTAGCTACTATAGCCCATTACACACACACACACACACACACACACACACACACGCTTAGCTTTACCACCTGGAAGGCCAGGGAACACACATCTGGAAGGCCAGGGAACACACATCTGGCTCCTCCCCTTTATAGCTCGTCACATATTTATAGTCACGTGCTGTTTCCTCCTACCCTGCTTCTTGCTTAGAAACCTTTTCTCCAAGCTCCTACTGTTCCTCGTGGAACATGGGTTTCAGGTTCTTCTTCAGCTACTGGCTCTGCTGTAAATGCACAGGTCAGTTTATCTGTTTCTCTCTAGAGCTAGTTTTATCCTAGCTATGTTTTAGCCAGGACAGTAGACAAAGAGCCAGGCCTTACTTTAGTTGATGGCAGAGATCCTTTCAATTCTCCAAATCCTTGCCCATGTGACTGTCAATAGTCACATCCTATTCATCTTATAGCCTTGCCGATTCCCTTCCATTCTCCTTTCATTGGGCAGACTCTCAACCTTAGGCCGTTGGCATTAGCTCAGGATAACTGCTATGGGATGTTTCCTAGCACTCCTGGCTTCCACTCACCACTTACTGCCATCCCCTTTAGTTGTGATAGCCCCAAATGTCTCTAGATATTACAAATACCTATAATCACCCCATTGAGATCCACTATCCATCACACCCCTCTTTGTGATTTCCACTGTGCTGAGGGATCATGTCATCTCCTGATGCTTTTCTGTGGATTCCTTATTGGCTATCTATCCAATTTTTCCTTTTCTTAGCTTTCTTGTAGAGCCTTGAACTTTCCAACTCCTTTTTACACTGCTATCAAGCTATATGAAATAAGCTTAATATAGATTCATATTCCAGCAAACTAAATATCCTTTTCCACTCTGGGACTGGTGCATGTGGTGAATACACCCTTTATGTCATCATCTAAGGGACTAATAACATTAATTGGTGGCTTCAGGCAAAGAGCCTACTCTGAACTTTTCCTGTCAGTTTCATATCACCATTTTAGCATCATGGCTGAAGTTTTGATAGACACCTTTCCTTTTAATGGATCTGTTCACTTTGTTCTTTATCAGAATTCACATATAACATTAGTCTGATAAAAGAAAAAAACTGGTTTATGAAGGAACCAACACTGGCGCTTTCCCCACTGCTCATATCTTATCTGTGCATTATTTTGGAACTATACTCAGTATCTACCATTTTTGATCTTACTTCACATCTATGTTTGGTATTTCATTTTTCTCCCATGATTTTCCAAGGCCACTGAGAGTAGTTCTATTAGGTTCATCTGAAAAAAAAAATCTCAGTGCTTCAAACCCTCTCCAGAATGTAGTCAATAAGACTTTAGAGACTTTATTTATTTTTATCTTATGTATATGAGTGTTTACTGAAATGTATGTCTGTGCACAATGTATATACAGTGTCTTTGTAGGCCAGAAGAGGGCATAGGGTCCCTGGGGACTGGTTACAGTTGTTTAGGAGCTGCTATGTGGGTACTAGAAATCAAGCCTGGGTCCTCTGGAAGAGCAGCCAATGTTCTTGTTCACTGAGACATCTCTCCAGACCATAAGTGGAACTATTAGAAAATGAAATCATTCTTATTTGTAGCTTTCCTGGGTATCTTTTGCCAGCTGTAAAATGCCCATTCACAGATTTCTTTTAAATCTGAACTGCTATAAGGTTCATCAGGTATTTGTTGAGAAGGAGCAGTATACAGGTCCAAGCTCTTCCTGGGCTTTGAATTTGTTCTCCCTCATCTTCTTCATGCAAGGGAGAAGGAGGAGAGGCAGGCTAACAGTTGTTGCCTGCCAGCTGTGTCTCCCCAAGTTCCAGGTGTATGCTGTCTCAGTTAAGTTTTATAAAAATGGCATTGGTAGGAACTGTTACTTTCACTTATAAAAAGAAACTTTAAAATTCTTTACTTGAAAATCAACTTTTGTCTGAAGTTTTAAAGTAATTTAAATTGAGAAGAACACTGAAGCACTGTTTCTTTGGGCCAAGCAGAAATTAAAGATGGAAAGCAGTTGAGGTCGAAAGTGCCTCCTGGCTTGGTCCAGCTTTGCTTTCCTTACTTTGTCTTGGTGACATCATTTTAATAAAGGAGAAGAGAAACCATGTGAATCTGGTTAATTAGGTGCTTATAATGGAAGCATTCTCCAAAATATGCTCAGAGTCTTACTAGGGTTGCCTTGTGTCTCCAGGAACAAGAGGAGGGGTCAGAAGATGACAGCTCCACAAGGCCAGACTTTGCTGTCACTCTGAAAACGGACTGCAGTGCACATTGCTTTCTGGACCAACTTGAAGATGATGCTGATGGATTTATTTCACCAATGGATGACAAAATGCCATCAAAATGCAGCCAGGACTCAGGCCTTTCAAACCTCCACTCTGCTTCAATGTATGTTGTTTGGGCAGTGGCATTAAAGTGGTTTAGTTTAAATAACAGCATGAGGGTTAGTTTAGCCAAAAAGCTACAAGCGACTTACCTATGATATATAGAGAAAATAATGATTTAAACTAATGAAATATGCCTAGTAGCTAAAACAGAAGGTTAAGTAAGCTTGAGGCCAATCTGGGCTAGAGTGAATTTTAGGTCAGAGAAAAGCTATAGAGTACAGGGAATGGGGTAGGGTTGGGAGTGGTCAGGGGACAAGTGAGAAGGGGAGGGAGATGGAGAGAGGGAGATGAGGAAGGAAGAGAGGGGGAGGAGAGAAAGGGAGAGAAAAAGTGCCATGTGCTCATCAATTTTCTCATATATTTTAACCCAGATTATTTGAGGAAGCTTTGAGATCTTTCCTGAATACGCATGAGGTCTCTGAATGACACTGTGGCTCTGTTACCACAGCTCAGTTAAGCCTGAGTACAACCATCACTTTGCTCTTTCTGAGACATATATGACAAGGCACCCTGGGCTTCATAAAGACCTAATAATTCATAAGTAGCAAAATCCCCTAGGAACCCCTAGAGCCTCGGCAGTCAAGAGAAAGCACCCACAGTGACTTTTAAATTGCTTTGTTTTCTTTCTCCACAATTCCTATCAAATCACATGCTATTTACATGTAAAGCAACTTATTTATTTTTTCTTAATTTACCTTTCTTCTTAGACCTGAACTCTTGGAATACCTTCAGGAAATGAGAGAAGAAAAGAAAATGATTCGAAAGAAACTCCACGATTTTGAAGACAATTTTTTCAGACAAAATGGGAGGTATGTATGGTCTCCCTATTCCTCCTTTCCTTATTCCACATCCCCCACCCTCTGTTTCTATTCCATCTGTAGAGCACTTCCAAAATGTGATGTTTGCTACATTTTCCTTGTAGGTCCTCTGGTTTATGCCCAGAGACCCTCAGAGATTTTCAGTGAGACCATGCGATGTATAGATATATATTATAGACACAGATGATAAAGATAGCGATATAGATATCTAAGGAGACATTCTTCTCGTACAGTCTCCATGACCTACGTCGAGTCTGCTAATAGGCAAAACCAGCCGGTCACACTTAGTTCTCAGCTCCAGTGAGTAACCTGGAACTGAGTTTCAAATTGACAACATTGAGTTTCTTCTCAGGAAGCAAGAGGGAGAAAAATGATACTAGGGAATTTAATGACAGTTAAAAATCCAAAGTTGGACTGGGGATGTGGCTTTGTTTGTACAAAGTCCTGGGTTCACACACAGGCACTATAAAAACTAAAGCAACTAAGATGCTAGTGGCCAAGTCTGGATGAAAAGCGTGTGTGAGAAGCAATGATGACTACATCTGTCGAGCGGATACCTGGTTTTCTCCAGGGGGATTTAAGGTGTGATTGGACTGTCTGTTTACTAAATTTGCAGAAAAAGCCTTTGTCACAGAAGCCTCTTCATATCCTGTCTGGAGTTGAGGGACAGGACCAGGAGTAGATCTGTGCCTCTCATGTGGAATTAGGTTTTACCATCCTAAACTGGTTTTACATTAATCCAAATTAGATAAAGGGTGTGTAGTTTCTTTGGAGAATTTTCATGCCCTGGGGTGTGAAGAAATGCAAGGACTATAACAATTAACCTTGACATTGGGACTGTGTTATATCCCAGTTTAGTTGAAACATTACATAAATGTATTTTTTTTGGATTTCTGACTTGAATCTATTAAACAATTTCTAAAGATTTTTTTACACATTTGTACCTAAATGTGTATTTATATCTAAATATGTATTTAATACCTAAATTTGTATTTTATACTAAATGTGTTTGCATTTTCTCCAGCCACTCACCCACAGACTATTAAGAAAATTTGGCTAAGTATACAACAGAAATAATTCCTAAAATAATAGCAATACCAACATAAGAGTCAATTTAATATTAATTGTTAAGGTGTTAGTTTGATGTTTCTGTCCATACACCTTTCATTTTCACATTATTCTCACATTCTGTGCATAGAATTCTATATATTGTGGAGCGTGAAGAAGGCTTAAGAAAGTCTAAATTGTGTTGGTGCCACATTGATGAAAAGAAAAAAAAACAGGCTGTTTGTCTTGGGGTGGCTTAAACCAAGAGTGAGCCCAACTTTGAATTCCCCACTTCACAAGGGGAAGGCCCTTGTGAAGGCTTTGCTCTATGTTTGTTGAGTGGCCCAAAACATCTGGCATCAGAAGGGAACGCAGAATCACTGGTCTTAATTGACTTTTCATCAAAGTTTACTAGGGAAGAATTTAGTCTCTGAACCCTAATGACCCAGAATAACACTCAAATCCACAAACAAATGTTATTATACCCAACATTGATGCCAACATTTATAGTAGATACTTGTTTTTTTTAAGCTTCCTTTCAACTTACTGGCTGCTTTCAGTGTATGATTCTCACCACACACACACACACACACACTATTCTGAGTTGGCATGGAGAACACATAACTTAAGATGAAAGCTATGCTTTTAGCTTATTGTGTAAAAGCTGACTAAGTGGAAACTGTAAGGCACAGTTAGCTTAATGGCATAGTTTTCTTAAGGGGAAATTAAACTTAAGACAGGCTGAATTCACAGTAGGGAACCAGATTGAGAACAGAGTTTTAAACGCCCTCAGGCACAACATTAACTTGGTTGCAAATCTGGCCGGAAGTTCGGCTTGTGAAGGCTAGAGGCATTTTTAGAAATAGCTATTTTCACGATGAATGGTAGAAACCAACTAGTCATCACTCGAGTTGATGCAATGAGGGGCTAGTAACAACATAACATCTGTCTAGTGGAAACCTTGTTTTCTCCAGGGGGATTTAAGGTGTGATTGAATGAGAAGCTCCTCACAGGGCATGATTGGTGACTGGATGGCGATATTCTCCTTAGGCCTAGTTCCTGTCTTCTACTAAAGAGCTACTTAGAATCCTTTACCAAAGCAAGGCAGACAATCAAATCAGTTTCATTTGTTAATGAAACCTCCTGCTGTACCTCTTGCCCATTTTTTCCCCTCTGTTGTGAAGAGAAAAGGAAGCATGGTGTTGGAATGCTTACTGCATGTATTCCAGAGTGACTGCTAGTTTGGAGAGGTCATTCTTCCTGGATTGCCACTGCCAGCCCTGACTACATCATATATACAAGACTATAGACAGTAGCTCCTTGTGGTCAAGCTGTTGTGAGAGTTGTATTATATCATGACTATAAAGTACCGTGGACATCAAAGCAAGCTTTAAACTAATACTACCACATATAAGCTTGCATATAAAATTACCAAGCAAACTACAAATACTTACCACCATGTGACCATTTGCTACATTTCAAAAACAAGTATTTAAGTAGGAATATTAACTCTTCTTGAAATATCTGCAAATTGTGATTGCTGATTGGAAATGTAATTGGGTAAGCAGTGAAGACCACTTGCTGCCCTTGCGCGCAGGACTCGGGTCTGGTTCCCACATAGCAGCCCATAATCATCCATAATTCTAGTTGTAGGGAATCCAGCTTCCTCTCCTGGCCTCTGTGGGTACTAAGTATTCGGGGGGCGGGGGGGTAGGTGGGACTGCACTTGTACATATACGTATGCAGGCAAAACACTCACGCATATAAAACAAAAATCAATAAGCCTTAAAAAGAGATATTTAATGGTTCATTTGATAAGAGATATGAAAATAAGGAAATATTAAGAATTGTGTGGTTTAGTTTCATGTCATCTTGCTACAAGTTAGAGTCATTTGAGATAAGGGAACCTCAGATGAGAAAATGCCCCCACCAGACCTGTAAGCATTCCTGCATTTTCTTGATTGATTATTGGTATGGGAGGGTCCAGCCCAATATAGGCATACTGCCCCTGGGCTAGTGGTTCTGGGTGTTATAAGATACCAGCTGATCAAGCCAATAGGAGCAAGCTACTAAGTTCAATCCTCCATGGATGGCCTCTTCAGTTCCTGCCATTAGTCCCTACCCTGACTTCCTGTCATGACTGAAATAAAACCTTTCTTCTCCAAGTTGCTTATGGTCAGTGTTTTATCATATCAATAGAAATCCTAAGTAATCCCCAAGTAAGTCAAGTGTGAAGTATTTTTTGTTTATTCTGAATAAATTGTTACTTCGAGATCATACCTTGAAATCAATAGAAAATTCCTACATTTTTTAGTCATTTGTGATCTCTTGTTAGATCCTAGATAAAATTTATAGCCCTCAAGTTGCATGGTACCTCCAGAAAAGAGCCACTTTGCACTTGTCTGAATCCAGCCTTAAATACCAAGAGCCAATTATCAAAACTGATTTTAGATTGATAGAATATGTAGTTTCCAAATGATAATTCTAGATGCACAGTATTCTTTACAACAGGCAGAAAGTGATCTTCAGTGTCTCTTTTCTTTGTTTCCTGTAGAAATGTCCAGAAGGAAGACCGTACACCAATGGCTGAAGAATACAATGAATACAAGCACATAAAGGCAAAGCTACGCTTGCTGGAGGTACTCATCAGCAAAAGAGACGCTGATTCCAAATCCATGTGAAGGGCTGGTGGTGTGGATGACACTTCTCCCAGGAAAGAACACCTCTAGAAGGCAGCCTGGGAGCTGTATTTTCAAAGCAGGCAATCCCCTGCCTCTGACCAGTCAGGTTGTTTCCTGCTTCCATTGCCTGCCTTAGAAACTGCCTGCATGGAAGATGCCAGTGTGACCTGACTAGTGGGAGAGTCAAGACTCCTACACATACTGCAGTAGGACCTTCACTGACATGAGCAGCGATTAGACACACCATCAGACTCGGCAGATAACCTGCTGTTCTTCCCTGATAACTGAGAAACATGAGGCCATTTTAAAACTGTGACAGACACAAGCTCAGGACTTCCCTTTCAGAGCCTGCTTGTTGTGAAGGTCCATGCTTGCCCTGGACCCCACCACATGGTTGACCATGTGATGGCACATTATTTGCTGCCTTGGCCATTTCCCGAGCTGTACTTACTCACTCCTGCAAATCCATTTCCCTTTAGCTCTCAGGTAGATGGAGGCTGCATCCACTCAGTGGCAGGGCAGTCATTTCGTTGATTCAATCTCTCAGCTGACAGACTTTAAGTCCCTGCCGCATACCTATGTGCTCTGAGGACAGAGTGACTACAGTAGCTATGCAGATGCTATTTTAAAATCAGGTGACAGCTGAAGAGCCTGAAAACTCTTCACGACACTGACTGTACTTTCCAGTCTCAGACATTGATGCCGAACACAAAATGAGGCTGGTGTTCCTACGATAACCTGTTTGGGGCTCAATTTGTTGTTGCACTAGCCAAACAAAGGACTCTTGCTTCATTATAAGACTAGATATAGAATATTATGGGAGAGAGGGAGTCTGTATCAGTCTCCTAAACTTACCAGAGCATAATTTTTCTACGAAAGTAAATCTGCACTAAAATCCCTAGATGGATGGGTAAGAACTCAGTTCATTCTCAAGGCAGAATCTAGATCACACCGTTTTCAAGATGATACATAAACAAAATGGTGTGTGGCCAATTTTGATGCTGTGGGTTTTTTTTCCCCAAAGACTATGTCACAAATCTGTCTATATTAGACATTTTGGAGGGACCAGGAAGCGTAAGACAACCCCCCCAATCATTCATCTCTTCTGTGTGCCTGCTGTCACTCCTGTGATGTGTTCTTTCTTCTCATCTACCATGTCTGCCTGAAAAGTGCAGGCAGGCTTGCTTTTGCAGCTGTGTGACAGGCAGCCTTGCCTCTAGAAGACTGCACTGTAGGTTGGGCAGACAGCAGGGGGACCCTGTTCTGTTTAGTGAATCACCTTCTCCAAGGTACAGTGTTAGTGAGGAGAATGGAAAATCGTATCACCATTTGCAATGATAAAACAGGTTTGGGGGTCTCCTGTTAGATGATTTTCAGCGCCACTCCCTCACTGTGGCTCTGTCACCGGGAGGCTCTTTCAGTAACGGGTGGGGTGAGGTGGGTGGAGGAGTCCTTCAGTTTTGCTTTTACAAATAATCCCCTAGAAGCATGAGCTATGTGTTGAAAATACTTTTTATCCACACACTTAAAGACGATACATAATCCTACAAATTTCAATGTGCATAAAAATGTAGTTTGATATTCTTTGCTCTGCTGTTTACATTTGCTATGATTTCAAGGGGTTGTACTATGAATAAAATTCTGTAATGTAGGATGTTTTCTATCTTTGAGGCCTGAACATGAATCATTCACATGACCAAAAAAATGTATTTTTAAAAAGAAATCCACATCTAGTCTGTAATTTTTAAGTACTTAATCTCCTAAGGAAACTCGAATAACTCAAATCAGCACCAGTTAACTTTTAAAGCACATCTGCTTAAGAGCATTGTTTTGAAAAGAATACACTAGAGATTTCTTTTTTAAAGCTGCATACAAATGAGAAGCTATTAGGTGTTTGAAATTCATCGTTTGCACCAAAGGTAAATGAACAAAGATTTATTCATGACTCCCCATTCAGTTTTATGTGATCAATAAAGTACCAAGTTATTGGAAAATAAATCATGTATGGAATAACATGGTTTCCTTCATAATTTCTAACTTATTTTCCTCATAAAATGGAGCCCAAATGAAGGTGGGGGCTGTGTTTCTGCCCGGTCTTCTCGGAAGGCATGTTACTCAGCGTTTTCTAGCTCTGCAGGAAATGGGGGGAAATTGGTTTCCATGGCAACTGTCTCTGCAGCTCTTCGTCTCCTAGCACCAGAAGCAGCATCTTAATTGGCCTCACACAAACAGAATGCTGTAGACCAGGGATTCTCTTTGGACCCTCTTGGGAGTGTGCAACAAAAATACTGAGGATTATGTAAGAATCCGCTTGACTATGTGATCATTGGGTAGCAGGCGTATGTAGTGTTCAGAAATAATTGCTTTTATCATGTTCGGTCTGGAGTAGACATTGAAATAGATTTGTATATTATTCAGTATGTTGTTGTTATGACATTTAATTTTATCATTCAGGTCAGACTTTACTTTTTAAGACACGGTGGCCTGATGTTTCAGATAAAGGCCCACTTTGAAGTTTTACAAACATCTGTAGACATTTTAGCACAAGCTTTAGTGGTCTCTGTGCAAGATCAAGTCAGATCTCAAATCGCAGAGCTACGTTTTTGTTTGTTTTTTTTTTCTAGACTTCACTGTGAAACCTAGATTTCTTCTAGTTGGTTGCTAATTTTTAAAGCGTAACCCTACTTTCAGTCTAAAGATTAATATTCACAGCAGATCTGCTGTCAGCCACGGCTGGAGAGAGAGCAATTGCTGCTTTGTCTCATTCTGATGCAACACCTCCTGAAGGCTGGGTCTGCGCTCTGCACCTGACTTGTCTAGGCCAGGACCATTAGAACCAGTTCTTTCTGGTATCCTCAACACTGGCAGACTTAAAGCCCTGTGGGCTGACAAAACTGTGAGCAGGGTTGAGTCTGCAATTCTCTGTAAGGTAAAGACTCAGAGTGAAAGAATAAAATGGCTTCGATCCCCTTTAGAGTAGTCTGTCTGGGAGCTTCCTAGTTTTCAATAGAGAAAACTGGATGTAGCAGCTATCACAGACATTCAAGGAATGCCATTCATTCAAATTTGATTTTCAAAAGAGATTTAAACTTTAGTAAGATGATGTCAACAGTATGTGTACCACAGACTGCTGTGTGAAAAGCTAATTGTAGTCTAAATTCTGTTTTGCTTTCATGGATGTTTCTTCCCGGGACACTCACGTCCTCTGTGGCCCCACCCCACTCCCAGTGAGGCAGGTGGAGTCCCTGCTGAGATCAGTGCCCACTGATGTTTTTTCAATGTCCACTTGGTTAAAGCAGTAGGTAGGGACAAACTGTACCCTGAATGTTGAAGCCACTTAGGAGAATCTAGAATGTTTTAATTTCCTTCATTGATGTAATTTTGTTCAGTTGGCCCTAAAATACTTTAAAGAGAACACTGTCTCCAATTAAAAAAGAAAAAGAAACAATACTTATACAAAATATAAAGAAAACATATTTAAATTACCAATATCCTTAAAAAAGAGAATTTTAATTAAAATCATTATGTATATTTTTTACACATGACTACATCTTGTATTTAAAAAAATCATTTTTAACTGTAGAAGCTCTGAAGTTTGGGTCATTGTCATGTGACTCAGCTGCTGATGGGGTGTGACCTTTCCCTTCTTGTAGGATCTAGTGCTGGCTCACTTGGGTCTCCCCAAAGCCTCATGAGAATTAAGTTTCTGTTCTGTCTCCAGAGAAGGAGGGCACTGCAAGGAGAAGCAAATTATGCATATGTGGTAGTCAGTGCAGAAACACAAAAAGCAGGGGGTACTTTTACCACCTGCCTTTCGACTATTCATAACAGCTAAAGGGGTGCAGAAGCAAAGCAACTTCTCCTTAAGGAGAATTCTCTGTAGTTAAGTACATTTCCAAAGTCTATGAGGCCACCTTAGGTATATAGTTTAGGCATTTACTATTCTAAAATTAAAGAGAAACAATAAAAAGTTTGGAGACAATGCATTGCATCTGTGTGAACACTTCAGCTTTCTAAGTCTACCTGGCAGGCCACGTGCCACACAGCACCTGCTCCCAGAAGGGAAGTCTCAATTTTAGGCACAAGACTCTGTGCCCCAGTGGCTGAGGGGACATAGTCATCCATCAGTGGGAGGCACAGGAGTACTTCATACTGCTCACGTTGTACATACTCCAGGTGACTAAAATGATTTGGGTGGAAGGACATTGTCCTGCTGCTGAAATATGAGTAACTTTCGGGTACTGCAATATTTAGTTCCATTAGTCCAAAACTGAAGCCCACCACAAGTACTTTTGTTTTTCTTCAATGGGAGCCAAGTAATAAATTTGGAAATAAATGATAGGTGGTATTTAGTGAGCCTGTTTCCTTCAGTATTTTGAAGTTGCTTTGTGTGTGCATGTATGTGTTATATATGGTATACACATGTGAGTGTAAAAATGAAGGGTGCTAGAACAGGACAGGGTGCTGGAAGCTTCCTATCATTCTCCACTTTATTGCCTTCAGACAAGGTCTCTAGATGAACTACAAGGTCAACTGCCAGAGACTTTTTGAGATCTGCCTGCTGTTTCTCCACCCAGTGCTGGGGTCATAGAGATGCACAGCCATTCCTAGATGTTTACAGAAGATATGGAGATCCAAACTCAGATCCTCATGCTTTCAGAGCAAGCAGTGTACCCACAGAGCAGATGCTGGATCTTTTGAGGGAGCAAAAAGTTAAGTGAGCTCAAATCCACACAGGTCTACAGCTTTTGTCAAATGCTGGAAGCATTCCAATGTTCTCCTTGCCCTCTACCCTAGCCATGTAGTGCATGTGCTTCAAAAAGCTGGTGGCCTGAAGAGAATGTTGCAATGTGACCTACCTGCGGTGGGAGGGCTCACTGGGGAAGGGAAACAAGACCTAAGTGGCTTCATCATTGCCTCTCTGGAATGGATTCAGCATCTTGTAAGACAAAATTTACCAGTGTTATCTCTAAGCTATATCAGCTTGCCAAGGCTGAACTTACTCAGTAGAATCTTATACCCACTAAGCCAAATCAAAATTCCCTAGTGCATTTCAGAGTCCTGGCATGCAGACAGGGCGGATTTGGCAGGATCGGAGGTGCTGAAAGCTCGGTTCTCACTTTCCTCTCCAGCTACACGGCTTATTACCACGAAGGCAGCATGGCACAGCACACAACATGGTGAGAAACAGATCGCTTGGACCACTCAGATTCCCAGCAGAGACGATGTGTGTTAAAGTCATATGCTACCATGAATTCTGAAGTTCTCAAAAGCCATTCAAAAATATGCATCAATCTTTAGACCCTCCTTCTGGGCATGCAGCTTTGAGTACTACTTGGTAAGACATTTTGAGACACTGACATTTTTCTTTAACAGGTACTTCTGAAGCATTGACAGTCACTGTGTATGGTAGGAACAGTGAGGGAAGGGAGAACGGCAGCAGGCAAAAGAGTCCTCCTCACATCAGAACAAACATGTGGCTGGGCTACTGGGATGCCACCTCAGTAAAGGCTCTGGGATGAGTGCTGTAGCTCAGAAAGGGCTTCAGGATTCAGGGTCTCAGGACAGGCCTTACATTAATGCTTGTTTTCTGTCATGCTGCTTGTCCAGCCTTCAGGAGGCTGAAGGCTGCATGTCCTGGATCTATAGAAATGAACAGTTCTACAACTCATCCAATCTCCCAAGTAACAAGAAACAACCCACTTGACAACACCCAGAGACAGAATGCCTACACATGCTTCAAGGCCCCACTGCATGATCTGGGTAGAGTATTTATCCTCCTAGAGCCTCTGGTTCATTGGATGAAAAGTGCTAATGATTGCATTACTTGCTTTATAGGTTGTCGTGGGCTCTGTGTTGCGTCAGCATTGAAATAAAGTGTTTTTGTAGTCCAGCAACACGTTCTGAAGTCTTTCAGAACAGGCATTGCATTGTACTTCCCAAGATTATTCGCCATCCCACTTCTGATCGATAACCCTCTCCTTTCTTGTTTGTATATGTTAGAAACATAATATGACTCCAACACTCTAAATGGAAGAATGTGGTTAATTAAATGTTTGTGTGTGGTGTGTGTGTCTTATCTATGTGTGCTTGTGACGAATATGTATATTTGTGTATATGAATATGTGTGTTGTATGTATGTGTGTGGGTATACATGTGTGTGTTGTACATGTAGACTGTACATGTTTCTATTGTGTACATGTGGGTACGTGTGTGTGTGTGTGTGTGCGCGCGTGTGTGTAAGCCAGAGGTCCACCTCAGGATGTGAAGATGAATAAGATTTTATGGAAACAGTTAACCAGTGCTGTTGGGGGAAAAGCCATACCATGGCTAACACTATTCTCAAACAGCCTGGCTGCTGTCTCACATCAACAGAATGAACTGAGATGGTCACTGAGATCAATGTGGAAACAAATATGTGAGGCCAGTGGAGTAAAGGTAAGAAGTAATCTTGAATGGATTTCTGGATGACTTAGATGCCCTCAATTTTATTTCAGGGTGTATTTTTAAACTAAAGGCTAACTGAACCCTAAGGAGGGGTGGTTTGCTATAATTGCCAATCTGCTAAGGAGCATCCCAAATTCCACAGCATGTGGCCATGGCTGAGTAGTCCTCCACTATTTCACCATAAAGGAAGAGAGAGCTGATGACCATGCCTGCCTGAGGCCAGCACCAGGCAGCTTTCAGATTCAAATTATTCCACAATCTTGTCCCTTCTCATCTCTAACATTACCTCAGAAATCAGGTCTCTACTCTGAATACTCCAATAGTGACTTGAACTTGAGAGTCCTTCAATTAAGGGACAAAGGTCAAGAGATCTATTTTTAACAAGCAGCTTTGGTAGTGTCCTGCCAGCCCTGTAGGACCTGCAGCCAGAACCTACTTGGCCCTGGCTGTTGGCTTTCATCCTAGAGATCACGGGCCTCTCAGGAGCCAATAGGGAACAGGCTTATTTACAAATCTGCTTTTGCTATCTTTCTCCTAATCTGAAAGAAAAGGGGACCACAAAAGAC